TCGATAGATGTCATGGAAGGACTCACTCGTTTCCACTTTATTGTATCAAGAATGAATGTGTATATCTGCGATACAAGCAATGATAAGACAAACACAGCATAGACAACACGAGAAAAGATAAGAACTAATACACATATATGTTAGAAGAGAAAGAGATAATTCATAGATGTGTACGTATAGGTGACCGATGTTCTTGAACAAGGTCATAAAGAGTGGTGATGGATAGAATCCGTCACAAATATCTGAACAGATGTTCGGGAATAGCAAAAATTCTGAGTTTAACTAACTGTTACTGGCTCAAGTCAGTTTTCTTTTGTTGTTGAAGAAAATATCGAAAATTGAATGTCAAGACTTTTCCAGCATAGATTAAAAGATCCTCATTACTAAATAGATAGAATCTTGTAAATAATAACAATTACTAGAACAAATGTACATGTATGACATAGACGGTGGTACATTTTGAATCAATGGTAGGCTTAACAATCTGTATAAGGTTCTCGCTGGGAAGTTAAGAATACGGAGGAGTAAGTAGAAGAGAGGGGCAGTTCTTTTTCTGTCATTCAAGTGAAACATAGTCGTGGGTTTCTCCACTTTATTGAAAATGTTTCTTTAACATGTAAGATTAGTCACTGAAGATGAGAAAAAGTTCCGGCAACTTGTAGTTTATCTAACTTGAGTTTCTCATAAAGTTCTTCTTTACTTGTAATACAGGAGAACTATTTCAAGTCATGAATAATGGATAATCTAATATGAATCATACAAAATTCAATATTTTCTTAAGAACGTTTTCTAAGTAAAAAATTCTTGTATTCATCGTCGAAGATAATGAAAAATTTGCCTTGCCTACGAAAGTTTCGATGCAATACTTAAATCTATCACTACTGATCAAATTACAAACAAATGTTTGAACCTACAACGGGGCAGTCTAGGGTAGGTTTCAACCTACCTAGGCCTTGTGACCCCACTCCTTACATAATATCACTTATTGATTCTCTTAATTAAAAAAAATCATTTGTAGATTGAATTTATTGTTACTTGATTATACAAATACTCATTGTTTACTGCCAACATTACATATATTCCAAGTAGAAAACATACGAAAAAGTTTCAAAAAAGTCAAAATCTTTTCGATACACTTCAAACAAAATCAATTAAAAAAATTCATAAATTTTGATCGAAAAATTAACACAAAAAAATTAGACAAACATATCTCGTGTGATATATAATATTATTCTTTTGAATAAAAATAAATCAAATTTCAACAATATGTTTTTTTTTGTCATAGAACGCCGTAAAACTATTTTTTGCATCAGTTATCTTTTTTTGAAAACAAAATGTACTGTAAAATACGATGCACGCGCTTTAATAATTGTCGTATTATTCATACATCAAATTATCTATAATACAAGACATTCTTTCGTCGCTTAAAGCATAAATTTCTCGTTGAATATTCGTATATACTTGATGTCCTCGAATATAAGCATCTTTTCTTATACAATACAAGTCCTTAATCCAATTAATACTGTCATCATTCATCAACCATCCTACATAGGCGATGTAAAAAAAGGAAAACGAGAAATAATTTGAATATATTGCATATCTATGTAAGTAAAATAATATTTCATATCATCGTTAGTAAATATCATCGTCGCTTTTTATAGAATGAGTAAACAGTACAAGAAATAAAATTGCGAAATATATAAATTGATAATCATCACCTTGTTTTTTCTCAGATCTGTTTTTGAATTGAAATAACAAGTATGAAACAAATTTTGCTTTGCTGTATTTTCATTGCAATTCTTTGCACGCTAACATTGGCAAGACCAAATTATGATAATGATGATTTTGATGTTGGTAAATAAATAAAACAATTAGATGTATATTTATTGCAGGAGAATAATTATTATATTTAGAGCATGATATGGCAGTCGAATTTTTAAAACGAACAGTTTTTCATCCAGGAAAAACTAAATGTGAAGAACAAAAACGAGAAGCATCTGAAAAATATGAAGAACGTTGTGAACCAAGTGTTAATAAATTAACTGGATCACGTTATTGTATGATTATATATTAAAAGGAAAATTCTAATCAATTGTTTTAATTTTCATTTCTCAATAATATATAGGTCCCGATATCAAAACATGGAATGCATTCAAAAACTATGAAGTGGGCGGTGGTTATGGTCGTTAAACAAAACAAAACAACTTTTCTTTTGAATCTAATCTATTCAATTTTTTTCTTCATTTGAAAGTCAATTGAAGATTATTTTCATTTATTTTTATTTCGAATCAATAAACTTTGCTTATTATTCTAGATTATGAAAATACTGGATCATGTCTTAAATGTACATTTTTGTTTATCCATCATCAATTAAATATGATGAGCAAGATAATTAGTAATGTATAATGATAATCCATCTAATGAAATTTTATTGAATTATTTTTTTTATAGTCAAAAATGTTGTGAACCGGTTTGACATGGAATTGAAATTGTATAAGGTGCGAAGGAGTGTATGAATTTGACCTCCATACTTTGTATGTTTTTCGCTGTAACAGAATCTATACTTTGTATCGCAATGATCTAGAGAATGACAACTTGTTAGAAACTCGTTTGAACTTTGTCAGATAGATCGATATCTCGAGATGATGCAAACGTATTTGAAGTTTCAATATGAGGTTTCGTTCATCTTCAGTAAGTTCTACAAAACGGTGATTTAATTTCCGTCTTTAGCGCGAGGTAATTAAAAGTGATGTGCTAGTCTTCGATCAGCTGTTATGAGCAGGAACGATAATGATGTCGAAAACGACAAGTCAGAAAATAGTGATTCAAACGTGACAATGAAATTTCATGTTAGAATCTATACCATTTGTTTTCCAATGTTCAATAGAACGTTATATTTTCTTAGAAAAAGCTATCCAAAGAGGTAGATTTATGTAGACTTAGCTCTTTTTTCCAAGCTACGAGATAATTAGAACGACGACAAGTTGATTTTATTCATCAAAGCTATATGGTATCTAAATGAATTATATAGATAATTAAGGATTAAATCAATAACGCCCTCGAAAAACATGTTGATAGAGTTTTTGTACTAGTGAATTTTGACATGCCTGCTCTCTCATTATCTTGATACTTCGATTATTTGATTCATCAAAACATAGATAATTTGAGTTTCCGATAAGACCGGCACGAAAAGAATTCGTTGCCATGAACTTCAGAAATCTCGGGAAGTAAACTGTCACATTATTAATCATAGAAACCATTATTCCCATTTCTCAGTACAGTGAAACCGGAATGCTATCTAGATGTTTAACATTAAGCAAATTGAAAGTTTACATTACCTTCAATGACAGACGTTGTCAATGGTGTAATCAAAGTTGTTAATGACATTCGAAAATGTTTAATAAAAATGCTCTATTTCGATAACATCTACGACATATATTATTTTGTTTGATTATATTCAAAAAAAAAACAATAATCAAGATATGAAAAGAGAATTATTAAATGTTAATCTTTTGTTATTCATGATAGTTTTTAGGACAACTGAATGGTGTATTTAACAAAGAGATGTTTTGGTTTTTCATTTAAGGCAATCATATAATTAACAAAAAAAAATGTTATTATTGACGAATTATTATTTAATGAACAATCGAATATAGAGTGGCTATAAGATGAAGTTAGATTTATCCTAAGCAATCATGCTATTTTTTCGATTATTTAATAATTTTTTATCCATTACACAAGAAACTCATGTGGATGCCAGACCTGTCAACAGGCCACTTTCTTCTGTCCTGGTTTGCAGGCTAATTGGTGTTTTTGTTTTTTTTTGAATACATTTAATTCTATAATTTTGCATTAATGTATCATTCTAGTTTCAATTATTTACTTAAGGGTGTCTCCTTCTCTTTTTTTTGATCATTTTTGATTCTCGAAGATGGCGAAAAGTTTTCGGGAAACCCTGGCTTTCTATAGAACTGCATTCTGGTCCATTACAACCTTCATGAAACTTTATCCGAGCCAACTGGAAATTTTTTTGAGATACTTCGGACTATATCTCAGAAGTATTTTTGAGGCTTTTCAAAAATTTGGATTTTTTATGAGAGAACCAGGTAAAAGTTCAGAGCTAAAATAGGATGTTGACCTTCAGAACTCTATAAATCCAGAGAGGAATGTCAAAAATAAAAACGGCTAATTTTACTTCTAGAGAATATTTTCAAGTATTTCTAATGAAAAGTTCTGCTTGATCGAACAAAGTTAGAGAGAAATCATAAGCAGCCAGATTTGAGAAAACTAGTGTTTTGCGTTACGCTAAGTAAAAGAAAAGAATTTCTATATGATTAATATGAAACAAAAATTTATTAAATTTAGTAACTCTGTAATATTAGACTGTTTAGAGTTGAATGATGTCTCTAATTGCACATGATATTTGAGACCATTATATCTTATGACCAATTCAAAATCAAGGTTTTAGTCAAAAAAAATGAAGAAATACACTTAATTTCTTTCCATAAAGATAATATGATAACAAATTTTTGCACGAAAAAACAAATTAAAACAGAAAGACAATCATCATAACAAATTTTTCATACAAGAATCAGTTGAATAAGTACAATGTTTTTGATCAAATTAATTCTATTTCGGATTATCAAAAAGATGTGATCATGATAGAAAAAAAAACAACATATGATAATGCATACGGTAAAAAAGTAAAGGAAAATGTAGGACATAAGTGACACTGACAATAACAGACGAGAACATTTACATTTGGCAATCAATTTTTTCAAGAGCACGAACGCAAAATTTATTATCTAATTGTTTTCGATCTAAGCAAATTCTTCTGTCAGTCAATGTTAGTCCTACAATACTAATTCGATGTTCGTCTTCAAGGATTTGTAGATGGAGTCGAATGAATGCATCAAAATAGATTTGAATAATAAGGCAACGAAAAATTTTTCAGTCGTTCAGTTGTTATGTTATATTAATATTTAATATATATTTTCTTATTTAAATATTAAGAAAATATAATCAAAAGATTGACGCTTCGGTTATTCTAATAAATAGGTTTTTGTGACATTATTGAAAAAAAAGTTTTTTTTGAGTATTATTCAAGCATTTACACCAAATGAGTAAAGAAATTAAAAAGTAATTTGTCTCTTGAAGAAATATAAGCCATAAAAAGATTTATATTTGTTTATCGTTGTATATTATTATCGATGAAGAACATATAACAGACTATGATTAATTATTGTTCCAACCAAATGAACTTAATCAATGACTAGTTGTTAATGATAAAATAATAATAAAAAAACTCGCCACGATTACATTTTTAACAAGTCATATATTTTTAGGTCAATTTCATTAATATTTATCAATCAGTTGCTGATATTATTTGAATTATGAAACTACAGTAATATTCATGATATATATCTATCTATAAAGATAAATAGAAGCCAAGCAATTTATACCTGTTCGAGAAATTCTATTCATGCAAAGATAGAAATTTATATGTTTATAAAGGTTACCGTTCAATTCGTTAGAATAAAATAGATGAAATGGTCAGTAATCGAAATAAAATTTGGGAGAAAATCTCAAATTTCATATCAATATGAAATATAATCCTCACGTTAATGTAACCGAGCAGATGTTACTAATGCCTAGAGCAGTTGACTTTTCTTTATTGCAACAGATGAACCACTGTATGCGTATTGACATAAGAAAAAAAATCCATAATAATATGGAATATTTCAAAGGTGATGATGTGCGAGAAGGGAAAACCATACATACAATATTAGCAAGAGAATAATCCAAAAAAAATGAAAGGCAACAAAGGATGAAGTTATTTGATGTTTGATATATGAAAATAGGAAATGATTCACATGATACAAAATTAAAATGCGACAGCCTACCTTTTTTTCAAGAACTATTTGTGTAAACATGTTGTTTATATTAGAGAATTGCATGGGTACAAATTTTCCTATCCGTACTTGACCAGAACAGAAATTATTTATCCATAATAGGCTTCAGAAACGGGCAACCTACCCGTGGGCTACATTAGTCTAGCACATCGATGATTAGTTTAACAGAACGACCAATTAATTGTGTTATCAATGATATCGCTATTTAATAACATCATTAAAAACGAATATTTCCAAACATTTTATGTCTTGTGTCATTAAACATGAAGTTTGGGTCTCCAGGAATAGTTACTTTTCACATCTGTATTCAGGTACGGGTACGGATACCTGGCCCTCGAGTTGCAGTACTCTGGTTCGTATGATTATTCGTTTGAAATCTTCCTAATTACTTCTGTATTTTTTTTGTTTATTTCGGTTTAATTTACTTATAAAACTTACTCTTTTTTGCTGATAAAAATTTGTATTTTTTATTGATATACAGAGTGTTCCAAAAGTCTACCGTGGCATAAAATTGTAATATTTTTCACGGATACACATGAGCTTTTTCCATCGTTTTAGAAAATATTCTAGGAAGTTTTCTTTCATGTGATTTTACTCATAACTACCATTTCAAATAATCAGCATCAAGTCTAAGACATGAAACCATTTGTTTCGAAATATTTGCAGAGAAACAGCGCATAGTGCTTGTTCTAAGGTCATTTTGATCTCGTCATAGATTCTCGTTTACATATCAACAAGAGTCTTGATATAAATTCCAGTCTAAAACAACGTGTTGATAAATAAATAAGAGTCTTTGATGAGATTGCAATGACCTCAGAATAAGTTTTATCTACTAGTTTTCTATAAATGTTTCGATATATATGGTTTCATGTTTTGGAGTTGATGCTATCTATTTGAAATAACAGGTATTAGTGAAATTATGAAATTAAAAAAAGCTTCCGAGAACGTTTTATAAAATGATGAAAATCTCATGTGAATCGTTTGAGATTATTACAGTTTTATGTCACAATGAACTTTTGGGACAATGCCCTTTTTTCCACTGCTAATGGTATATAATGAAGTGACAATTTTCATAATTTATTACTGATCATTTCATTTATTTTACCGACCACATATTATATTTCTCTTTATTAATATCAATGGAGAGCAAGAAATACAAGTAATTCTAGTACAAGAAGAAAAGCAAAGAATTCCGTTGAATTGCCAGATTTGATTAAATTTCTCGAATTCTTTGATTTTCAATATAATACCGACAGTAAGGATAAAGACATGCACCTCTAAGACTGTCAAATAGAATTATATTGCATAACGGCACTAACTAGGTTTGCTCGAATTCCTAAAATTTCTTGATTTTCATCACAAGCTTGATTTTCGTTACTAAGACACGTTCATGTTCACTAGAAAACCAAGTACTTTCACGAATTCGAAAAACTAATTAGAACTTAATTCTTTCTCTTCTTTTGCTAGAACTATTTGACTTTCAAGATGTCATTAACACTAAGGATGAAAGCGCCCTCTGCTGAGATAATAAATAGTAATTCTATAGAATTTTTAGATTCATGTGAATTCTTTCTTCCAGACAATTTTGATTCGTGTTGACTTCATTGATTATGTAAAATTATATGAAAATGTCAATTTTTAGGGATCATAAGTATCTCTGATATATGATCGTTATTCATATTGATTATGAAGAATGAAATAAAACTGTTTATTTTTTATTCTAGATCATAGATAATAGATAGACATCATTTCTAATCATTTCGTATATACCTCGAGATAGTTGTTCATCACATAATCATATATATTGTTCAGGCAGTTGATCATCATCATTTGGTTCACCATTGGGCTTGACAAATATAAACAATAGTAATGATGATACATCATCAATATATAATAAAAACGGCGGCTAGTTCCAATAATAATCACAAGGGTTCTATATCAACAAGTAATATCGATACTACTTTACTATGATATGATGAGAAACATGCTGCAGCTGGAAATAACTTTCAATATCATCAAGATTGCTCAATATTTAATCGTCTTTCATGACATAAATGAAATGCGATATATATATATATATATATATGCATACATATGTGTAGATATATTCATCTTTTTAAGATGATGAACCATATGTCAATGATAAAACATGATGTTTTGTCTTATGACAATGGTTCATAGTCAATCGATGGTTGTTGATGATCAACATATTTATACATCGATTGCAATTTCAAAGACAATTTTCTTTGAATATTCTATAGAAAAACAAAAACTTAGTTTCTATTAATAATACAAGCTCTTGATGTTTACATAAAGATAGAACTGTCAGAAAACCAGCTTTGTTTTTTCTCTAGTTTACCACAATATCTACGTGACCAACATACTTTTCATTCTTAGATGATTTATGAGTGCATAATGCCCTAAAGAAAAAAAAAGAACATAGTTTGATATAATCAATCAGATTGATTTTTTGTCTTTTGATCTTAAACTAATGAATACTTTCAATTCCTTTTTTTTTGCTTCTAGTAAATACAATGATAATGAAAGAAAAATCTCTGTTGCTGTTTATCATAACGATCGACAGCTGTATTTACATGGCATATGTCTTGAATGTCTATCTATGCGTTCATTACTTATTCATAGTCATATATGTAAGAATAAATTCAATTTTTATCCAATTATTATGGTATGTACATTAATCTTTTTTTTCTTGTTCAGATTATGTTTATATTTTTCTTTTATATTATTGTTATTATTATTATTATAGATTGGCTGACTAAAAAGTCTCGAGTAAGATTATTATTTTTAAATTATTTACAATCAAATAATTTTATCGTAATACAATAAATTTATTTGAGTGTAGAAAAGAAAAAGAATTGTTGTCAAAGTATTCAATCAAACGACTTGAACATAGATGTTAGAATGCATTTTTACATTATAAATAGGTCAATATCAGTAAAGAAGAAATTTTCTCATCAATAACTTATCATATAGGTCATTGGCTAACAACTGTTGATGATGGGCATTATGCCTGATTGATATCTACGCGCGTACGTTTCATCACTTAGACTAAAGAAATAATATGAAGAATGGCGCGGTAGTTCATCTTCGTATGTATTCGCTTCTAATTGACTTGAAAATGAGTGTTGATGAGAAAAGGAAAGCAAATGAATAGTATACATAGACAGTCAACTGTACGACCGCACCTCCTTCTTTTTTTCTCTTTACTTCCTAAAGCATATAGTGTCTGCTTATCATCATTTTCTCTTCGTTTTTCTTTTCCTAGTTCCAATGGACGTATATCGAACGACAAAGCATCAGACCACAAGAAATATTGTATTGTATATATTGATGGAAAGAACGCCCACGATCCTGCTTGTCGAATTATCTTCAAGAGGTATAAGCCAGTCAGAGCGCATTGAGTATTATTCTTTGCTGTATGTATACGAGAGAAAAGATGCGAGAGAGAAAAAAAAATGGATAATACGAAGAAAAAAAATAGAGAAAGAGGGAGAAAAATGTACGTATATATAGAAGCCATCTGCCTTCCTAATTCTGGTTCGCCGAGCGCAAAAGGCAACAAGATAGATTTGTGTGGCATCATCCTTTGTTTGTGTGCTAAAAAGATTCTATTCTGGTAAGTAACTAAAACGAGCAATTTTTGTTCTATGTATATTTGGCAAGAAAAATCTAGTACTAATAAATAAGAACCGTTGTATACTGACTAAGCAAAAGAAAAACCTATATATGATACACTTGTCTCAGTTCTGCTTCACACATATATTTATATATATATATATTGTTAGAAAACTTGGATAAATCTTTTTTTAACAGTTAGCCTTTAAGGCAAGGATGTTCTTTCAAGGAGAATGTCAAGGATTTATAATACATAATTTTGACATTCATTAATCTAAATAAGCTAATTAATAGTTTTTCTTTTTTTTAAAAAGAATAAAAACAAATTATTGGCTATGTGCCAAGAATAATTGAATTTTTAAATTTGGGTCGGAAACGGTCGTTTTAAATAGACACTCGTATTCGAGTATGTTACACAGCAACGGTACACCACCAATAAGTAAGAATACGAACAACAACGGCGGTAGATCAACAAAAAAAATAATGGGTCGTAAAAAAATTAATATAACTCGTATTATTGACGAGCGTACTCGTCAAGTAACATTTACGAAAAGAAAATTCGGTTTAATGAAAAAAGCCTATGAACTATCAGTTTTATGTGGTTGTGAAATAGCATTAATGATATTTAATAGCAATGATCGTTTATTTCAATATGCATCATCTGATATGGATAAAGTCTTATTGAAATATGCCGATTATAATGAACCACATGAATCATGTACAAATGTCGATATAATCGATGTAAGCTACCAAAAAATGTAATTTATTAATATAGAAAAAAAAACAAATAATTTTTTTTCATTAAAGATTTTAAATAAAAAAATAAAACCAACACAAATAGCAACATCAACTAATAATGAAGATAACGAAATTATGGAACAACATGACGATAATAGTGGCGAACAAACTGATAGTGGTATTAGTAGTACATTTACTAATGATATTGAACAAATGTTTGCTGAAACAGTTAATAACGTAAATATTGTTTTTTTTTTTAATTTTATGTAAAAAAAAGAATTCTATCTTTTTATTTAGTTTCTTATTAACAGCAATCTTAATTGTTCATCAGCAAATGGACATGATATGACATTCCTTAATAATACAAATACAACAGTTCTACCGGATTTTCAGTATTTAACATCTCCATCAGGTGAACAGCAACAACAACAACAACAACAGCAGCAACAGCAACAACAACAACAACAATTAACATCACAGGTACCACCACCACCATCAACAAATCACATTCCCATTTATCCTATTCCGAAATCTGTTGATTGTAATCAATTTAACAATAACATTACCAATAATAATCATTCGAATACAAATCATGTAAAAAAAAGAATATTACTTTTTTTTTTCTTTCATATGAAATTTGTTTTAGATCAAACAACAATCATCAATGAACAGTTTTACAACTCAACAACCAACAACAAATATTGGCCGTATTATGACAGGTTAGATACAATTTGAATAAAAAGAAAAACATTCTACTCTTTTCATATTTTCTAGTTGGTCCCGATATGAGTGTTTCAGCTATTGACATAAGTGCATTGGCATCACAATTAACATCAAATTTTTTAGCATCATTAACTAATGCTGCCGTTGTAACAAATACTAATAATTCTACAGCAAATTTACCTATTAAGTAAGAATATAATCAGTGGCGGATCCAGAGTTTTGGGCTAGGGAGCGGGCTGAGCCCCTCTGGCCTTCTCCCCGATTCCTCCACTGAATATAATATCTCTTGTCTTTAATCATTTTATCTCTTTTTGTTTTTAATTCAGTATAATAAGTCGTGATTGTCAAACAACAAATGTTGGTTCAGCCCAAACAATAATGTTAACAAATAGTCCAAATTCAATTATTCTTACTGGACAACAACAACAACAACAACAACAGCAACAAGCAATAAATCGAAATTTAATTAAACAAGAGCCAATTCTTTATACAACAACAACAGCTGCAAATACTGGACGAAACGAGTTGTGCTATGAGCCAACGAGTGCTAAACAGACTCGCTTATGGCAATAATACATTTCCATCAAAATTGATTCCGTATAGACAAAAGACATTTTCCAAAGAAAAAAAAAAGTTTTTTTTTGAAACAGAGTTCCTTTGTTCTTTCCTAATTCCGTAAACCGTTCCTTGTTTTGCTCTTATAAATATGACCTTAATTATACCTTGAATAATTTCTTTTTCTTTTTTTTTGCTTTTTATCTATTCCGACATATTATCTATTTTCATTTTTGTTTATTTCTTTTTTGTGTTTTATGCATATAAGTTATATATATTTTAGCAAAAATTCAATTTTGGCTTTTGTTTTTGTTTAAAAGGAAGGAAAAAAAATAGTTATACAAAATAGACATGATTAGATATGAAAGATAGATATATATATATATATACAAAACTAAATCTGAATTTTAATCATCAATTGTATCTATATCAATGTTATCATCATATTCAAGTTCATTTAATTTAATTGTTGTTGCATGAATAACAGAAAAATTAAAAGATGTTTCATCTGTTTGAATATTATTATTATCAGTAAGAAGCGCAATTGAACTATTCTTTCCCGTTACCATTGAATTAATATCATTCCTAAATAAAGAAAAAAAAAAGTAACCTATTTATATATTTTTTTATCTTTAAATACTGTCAACAGTCTTATTAATATTGGTTATTGTTTAATTATGCTGTTAACTAAGTATAATCAGTAACAATCGATAAAAAAAAATAACGTCATTTATTATACTACATATCTCACATATATACTTTTCAACCTTAAATAATTTTACTAAAGTGTGCCATGAAAAAATAAAGCGTTTTTTAAAACTTAAGTTGAATCTTTTTGACTTTCGATAAATTTTTCTTTTGTAAAGACAAATATCAGGTAAGCCAAAAGTTTTTCGTGTAACTCAGTTCAGGAATATGAGAAAACGTTAATTTTTTTTCAAAAGATGCGCCATTGAATGTTGTACTTATATCTCAAGGCCAAATCTTTATAGCTATTTTCGCCAACACTAAACACGTGCGTCATCGTGTTATTCCTGGTGCCCATCGAGTTGGTCCTGGACCTAATGGACTTTAGTTGCATGATAAATGTGTATGGTGAACTAGTGACCGAATACAAAAGAAAAACCGGAAAAAATTGTCTTGTATCTGCAAGGCAAATACCAATTCAGATTAGAAAACTTCATTGAGAGTATCAAGCTATGGTTCGACCAGATATGAAAATTTCGGATTCGATGGTCACTAGTTATTTCCTAGAAGAAGAAATCGAAAAAGTCTATTTTATGATTGACAACTAAAATCATTTTTAGTCAAATCAATGTTAGATTAATTGAACTGTTCTAGGCATTATAAGAAACCAAAATATGTATCATTCCTTTAATCCTTCCTATGACGTCAGTACTGGTTTCTCTTCAATACATTTTCACCATCTTCAGTTGAAGACAAGTTCTTATTGTATTATTTTGTTAAGCTTAATTGTTTTAATATTTCTTTCGACAGTCGAATAAGTTTAATCTAGCGATTTGTACATTTGGAGTCGCCATCCTAGATCCCCTGATTGATTCGAAAAATTATCGCTAAAATGAATGAACAAAATTCAATAAATTTCATTTTATTTTAATTTTTTTTCTTGTAGGAAATAACACGATGACTATATGTGTTCTGTATTATCAAAAATAGATATAAAGATTTGGTCTTGTGATATGAGTAGAACACTCAATGATATATCTTTTGAAACAAAAATGATCAATGCTTTATCATATTTCATGCAAAACTATATCTACAGCCGGTATAGCTTGTTTATGAAATATTCAATATGATTGAAATTCGAAAAAGAGAATAATAGTGGATTATATGAAATTGCTGTAATATTGAAAAGTCAACCAGTTTACACTTATGACGTGCATGAATAGTTAATAGTACGAAATAATATTATTTATTCTTTTGATGAATTTATGGAGACAAGAAATTGAGAAATCTCGTCGAAAGAAAAAAAAGCAATTCTTTCGGAAAGACGAAATAACAAATTGTGAAAGTTCATAGATTGTGAGATTTTCTACTTTTTCTTTAGTATGTTATTTTCGTTTATGCTAACGAAATAAAAACGATAAGTTTATATTTAATGTTCTTTGAACCAAAAAAGTGGAACATAAACAATCTTGACATTTATCAGCTACATAGAACTAAAGTAATATTTGTTTTGATTTTGAACATTGTAATAATAAGTATACTGACAAAAATAAAACTCGTTTACTATTTATAAGTAGGTTATTATTGAGTGTCGCGCTGTATATAACGTTACAGCAATCATATTGAGTAGAAACTAAATTTGTTCTTTTTCTTTTGAGAAGTAAGGCAACTAGTATACCCCCACTGGTGCTAACTTGATGAAAACATACCATTTTTGTGTATGCCGGTCAATAAAACCAATGTCAAGAATCGAACGATTTGTTGCATCTAAAAAAAACTTTGTTTTTAGATATTTTCCCTGGAATAGAGAAAACTACGACCTAGAAATGGGAACTCGTTCGAGTGTATCTGTTTATAATATAGTTATCATATGGTAACTATGATACAAAGAACTATCTAAGATAGTTAGAAGGGCATATACGTATTAAGAGTTAAATTAATCGTATAATAGTATGTTTTTTGGAAGGAATGATCATCATTATAAAAATTATTATTCAGTAGTTTAATCAATTGTTCAATGCGGTTTATATGAGAACGTGATTGAAATTAGTTCAAATAATCATGTAATAACTCTGATTCAAATAGCCATTATTAATATGTAATCTAATCTATTGATTGCAAGAATAGGATCCAGAAATGAGAACTCATCCATGTCTATCTATGTTTAACATGATTGCAAATGACTATGCCCTGTGGCATAATTGATATATCGATGTTGCATAAATCAAATATGTGCAAGACAATTTCACGCTCATTACCATTCTATGGTTTAGGACTTACTGAAAGAACAATGACGAAATGTATTACCTCTGATGAAATGCGTTCACGAAGCAAAAAAGAAATGAAAGACACGTAAACAATAGCGTGAGGGACTGCGAGATTGTCTTGCAGATCTCTGATATAAATGAATGTAACAGTAATTAATAGTTACAAATTATTGAATCAATTTGAACGTATAATTACGATTAACAAAACTTTTATTTTTTTTTCTAAATACAAATAACACTCATAAATTGGTAGAAAATTTCTATGGCTATCTAGTTCTATTAGCGCTATTTATATAATCTCCATCGTCGATATTAATTTTTATGATTGCCTATCGTATACTCATAAGTCTCGATGTGAAAGTGGGTAGGAGGGGCTAGCCATCCTCCTTCGCAAACTTTTTATGTCGCATCTGCGGAAATTTCAAGTTATTCTCAGAAAACTGTTTGCCAAGTTTAAAATCGTAGCTTTTCTCAATCACCTTCTTTCAGATAGATTGCCTCCAACAATCTATCAAATTTTTAGCTTTTTTCCATTTTTTTTAAAAACTATCAACGACTCTGCATATACTTATCATATGATCAATTTCGTTTACTACTTTCTTTAATGTACCTCTTTATCTATACAAGATTATTTTCATATGTCTATTCTATTAGATTAGGGCTGAGTAAATCTGACCCGTGATGAACGTTACTCTCTTACTTGTTGTTGAAGATCGTGAAATTTTTAAGAGAAATGCTTGATATGGTAAAACAGTAGCAAAATATTCTTCTTCTGAACAGCCATAATCTATAAAAAAAAAAAATAACACATACTTTTAGTTCTAATTAACAAAAAAAAACAGAAGAAAAAGAACTGACATAGTTTATTTGTTGACAATAATGTTCGATTTTTTTGTATCTATCAAAATAGAAAAATGATCTACTTAATTGAATAAATAAAACTACATACTCTTGCTCTAACATCATTCTCTTGTGGTTTTCGTAAAGGTTTAAAACCTCGATTAATTGGAACGGAATTACATAAACGTACTGCTCGACAAGCTATACTTGATGATACGAATGAAAGTTGTAAACGTGACTAAAATCTAGAATTTCATTGATATGAAGATTTAAGTTGTACTTTTTACCTCCCATTCATTAAGAATATGTTCAGTTATACTAAGGTGATCACATAATTGAGCTGCATCCTCAATTGTCGAATAAAAATCAATATAATTTTCAAATAGAAAACCAATAAATGTCGGTGCTGATATGTGACATTGTTCAATAAGATTCTACAATATTCAAAATAATCAATTATCAAAAAATAAGATATACATTCGTCTACTTCAGGTTGATTTTTTGTATTGTCATCGGTAGAAGTTTCTTCTGAATCTATAACCAATATTTTGATTAATTTCAAACAAAAAAAAAACGAATCAAAGACCTTTTTTATATAAAATTCGACCAAGTCCTTGAAATAATGATAAACAAGTATCTTTTGAATTTAATTTTCCTATTGAAGATTTCAGTATATTATTACCTGAAAAAGAAGAAAGAAAAATTCATATAATAATTTTTTCTATTAACCCCTTCAGAACAGATTACGTAAATATAGGTAATAGTTTTGAATCAACTTGCACCTGACTTATGATACTGTTTGAGTCTGCTTGAGAGAACGATGGTCATGAGCTAGCACTACTTCTCATCTTCATCTAATTCTTTTCTTCTTTCATGGGTCATTCCACGAGAGAACCGACCGAATCTCTAATGAGCTGTGCAATCGAGACTCTGATATTTGCTCTTAGCCTAGCTTATCTTATTTTACCTGGGAACCAAAACTTTAAAATCTATCAAAGCTTTTTGTTGAAAAACAAAACATCTTTCCCAAAATCCTGTTGTTCGACCACCAACATTATCCGTTTAGAAAAATATCAATTTCTTGAAAATGTTTTGTCCTATACGTTTGAAAATTGAATCATGCCACTTTGCTCGTAGAGTGTGAGTTTCGAAAACTTATTTTCTAGTTTAGGTGTACAGATTTTGCTGAAGTTTTCTTTTTACAAGAGAACACTAAACTTTTTTTTTTTAGCAATAAAAATTCAGTTTATTCAGAAACAGTTGTCTAATCACGAATTGATGAGGGGAGAGGGATTTACCGTGGTAAAAGGCAATGACAAAGAATCGTACGAAAAGGTCACTTTTGTGGTCGTCAATATATTTCGGAGTTCTATATTTGCATCGTTCATTTTTCTCAAAAGTAGCCCTCCATCCTGAAGAGGTTAAATCTATTTAAAATATATATTTACTCGAAAATTGTAATGTATTAATTGCTAAACGAAGATCACCATTTGCTGTTTGAATAATATCATTAATACAATCAAATGATGGTGGTTTTAATTTCTATTAAAATAAAAAAAAGACAAAAGATTGATAATTAATTTTATATAACAAATTTACTAATCGAGATGCTTGATGAATAATTAATCCAAGAGCTTTTTTCATATAAGTTGGTGCGATTGGATTAAAACTAAATGAAAATAAAAGAAATTATGAAAAAAATGCACTTTTAATCACCAATTTTTTCGATTTGTGATTTTTCAGCTTCTCTTTTTGGGTGCTTCTACACGATACACATAATACCTCATCCATATTTAGTATTCTGTTTTCAGAAATGAGACAGATTAATGTATAATAAAAACAGTTAATGATTGCAGTGTGTGTATCTGCAGAAAAACTAATTATCTAGTTTCATTTATGAAAATGTCAACCTTGAAAATAGACTGGATTCTGTTATGTGTAATCAATGCATTTGATGATGTGAAAGCTATTGCTAATCAGGAAGTGAGATGAATGAGAAGAAGATCCTAAGATCAGACTCATTCCTATGAAATAAATAATATGAAATGACTGCTCGAAAATTTTGGTGATCAAAAACCCTGTTATCTAGAAATTATTGTTTAATAAATTGTTTTTTTTTCTTTTAATTGAAATCTAACCTGATCTGTTCAATTTTAAATTCATCAATAATTGATAATGAAAATAATACATTAGGATTATTAAATGTTGATAATGAACTATTATCAGTTATTATAAATACAATTGGATGATATGCTATACGTTTTAATTCTCTGTACAAAAACAAAAATAAAAATTTTTATTTAGTTCTTTTTTTTATTTCTAATTTTATTATACAATTCACCTTAAAATAGAATGAAATGATGTTACATCTGAGTAAAAACCATTTGGTAAATCCTAAAATAAATATTATATATAAAAGAAAAAAAAAGAAATTAAATTCTTCAGTAATATTTGTTCTTTTGTCTTATCTTTAAACAACAACACAAAACTACTTAGCAAGCTATCTCTTCATTTTTTTTTGTGCATTTAGAAGTTCTTTTTTTTATCTTATCAGTTTTCTATTTTACAGCTAAACAAGTTACAATTTCATATCATTTTTATTTTTTCATTTTAGCAAAGTAACAATGCATCAACTAAACGGAGTTGTTTTTCTTGTACTATTATTCATTGCTAAATATCAAGCACAGGATACAACAACATCTGTGGATTGGTATGGTGACCCAAATTTATGTACAGTTAATTCACCAACTCCAACTACACCATCATCTCTATCACCACCACCAATGCCGAAATTCCCAAATAGAGCTGAATTTGCTATAGAAGAAATAGATACTTTGCGGCTGTTAAATGTAACAGTAGGTGCTGAAATGACTTTACTCGAATATCTTTATGATTATGACGCTAATTCATTAATTACGGTGAAAAATAAAGATGGCATTATCAGTGCTGAATATTATTACTATAATGTCCTGAATATATCGACTTATTTTAGACGAGATCTTTGTGTTGTATCAGCGATTCCAACAAATGACTCTATGAGTATATTATTATTAAGATTTAAATGATTCTTTTTATCGTAGTCTTTTTATTTATTAGAGGGCGAATCAGCAATAAAAATAAACGATGTATGGCATATTCGTTCATTGAATGAATTTCTTTTATTTTCAAGTGATGATCCAAGTCGATTAGTTAAGCCAGTATATCTTGGTATCGATATAGTACGTGGAATTTCAGTTCATAAATGGCAAAGTTGTTATGTCGATAAACCAACTTTTACAACAAAACGACTTATATGGACATTTGCTCAAGAGCAAGTTGATATGCCAGGTAAAACTAATAGTACATTTCCGGTTCCTATTCAAGCAATAATTAGCGGTTCAAAAGACTTACAAAATGGTACACAATTAATTGAAATTGATAAAATATATAATGTTCTTGCATATCGACCGGGTATTAGGGAGACCAGTGATGCATTATCACCACCAAAAGGTGTTTTTTGTGAAAACCCAGGTCAAACTTTGGTATCACTTAAAGATGTAAGTGTTGGTTGGCCAAATCATTTTAGTGTTCGTGTTGAAACTTCAACATCACGTTCATCACGATGGGAACGATTTCATTTACGTTATGATCAAGGTCGTGACGGTAATTCAAGACGTTTACGTTATGACTATATGCCACCAGGTGCGGAAGATTTTCGATCCGTTATTCACGATTATACAGATAACGTGACTTATACTATTGATCTTCGTGTTGGCTCGTGTACAATTACAAGTGGTGTAGAAATTCCTGATGTTAGTCCTATTCGTAATCCAATAGAATTTTTTGTTAAACATGAAGCTTATTTTATATTGAATCCACCTGAAAATGCTTGGGAATTCAATGGATTTCGACGTAAGAAAAAATTAAAAAAAAAAAAACAGAACTTTAAAATTTCTTTTCTTCGTCATTTTAGCATGTCGTGGCAATGATATTAGATGTACAATATTAACAACATCAATTGGTAACTTTCCTCCAATAGTTGACGTAGATACTGGCATGGCATCAGGTGAAAGTTGGACAGCAACTAATGTGGAATATGGCTGGTCAATGCGTGCACCATTTGCTACTGTATCACCTGACCGACCAGATAAATTTAATTATCCAGTAAGTTTGTATTTAAAAATGTATCGATATCAAGATCCCGCCAATCCATCACTCAATAGTCTTCTTACTGAAGATATTGAATATGAATTTTATGAAATGTCTTATGATAGAGATCAATTTGATTTTGATACAAGTTTATGTTATCGTGCACTTAATTATGAATATTTACATCTTTATTTTACATATAATGTTGATAGAGTTGGTGCTTTTGATAATAATGGATTAAATCGACGTGAATTAGGCAGAGAAACACAGAAACTTTTAGCAAGTAGAATGCAAATTAAATCTTCACGTATAACTGATATAGAAATTGATCATGAAGCTGCTGGTAATCGTGTACAAGTCTTTTTTACTCTTCTTGGCCGCACACCAAAATCAGGAACACAATCAGGTTTTGATGATAGTGAACCAACAGCCGAAGCTGCAAGTAGTTCTTTAAAAACAGCTATTGATGGTGGAAATTTTCAAGTCAGTTTTACATTAAATGATAGTTCTATTGTAAAATTAACAGCTGATGCTAGTTCATTAAAGTCTTCGAAACAATATATATCAAGTCATCGAGTTGGAAAAATAGTTTACACTGAAAAAAATACAGGTGGTTCACCAGCAACAGCTATTATTGTTGGATTAATTATTGGTATTATTGCAGGTATTATTATAATAGCAATTGTTCGAATTGTACGAAAAGAACCAATGCCTGCTTTACCAGTGTCATTAACAAATCCTTTATCAAGTTCTAAAACAAAAACTCCAGCCGCTGCTTCATCAACTACAGAAAATACTTAATAAGAATATTTATTTTATGAACAAATACATTTTTTTTCTGTTCAGAATTCTTTTTGTCTTTTTTATAAACTATAACCAATATGTAGTTCGAATTTATTTATTCATTCTCTTTTTGTTTTGTTCGCTTAATAAATATATTGACTTACTTCAATTAATACTAATTGTTTAGTCGATGAGGATTGTGATTGAATTGATTGTTCATTATCATTTTCAAATATTAAACCATTACTAGGATTACCTGTTGATGATGATAAATAACGAGTTGATTGAAATACAAAAGTACGAAATGAACGTTTTTGAGATTCAACCCATTGGCGATCATCTGAATTTCAATTGAAAGAAAAGAAATGCTTAGAGATATAACAAAAAAAAAGATTTCCAATTATTCTAATATATGAACTCAAAAGAAGATTCAATCATACTTATTCAAGGTATTCGAAATTATTTACTTACGTAAATAACTGAAAAGTGTATTAATAATAATTTATTAATATGTTACAAAGACCAGGAAAGAACTAGAGCAAAGTTACGAATAAATCTGTTATAGCTCACAATTCTATGTATCAGTTCTTTTCATATGAACTATGTCTAGTGACAATGAAAATGCAGTAATTCTATTGAGTAACTATTCCGTTTGTCAAAAAAAGAAACGAACTGATTACTATATCCTATTCTCAACGCAGAACAGGTTTCATAGAATTGGAAGCTATCATACATCTAGAACGGAATAGGTCAGCTCTTTTGAAAAGAACTTGTTGGATCACTATTAATTAGTTAATGAGAATGGATTTACAAAATATTCATTTTCGTTTTTTGCACTCAGATTTTTTATAAATCTCTAAGAACAAATGTCATGTTATAGTCGTTTATATCTGTTAGATTTCTCAAAAATAAATATTGAAGAAAAAATGGTTATTTATTCATCAACTGATATTTTTTGTTAATATTTATTTTATTGTTTCCATAAGGGTTAACAAATGATAAATTCATAGTTTTCTTTCATAACATACAAAAGTTCTTCTATGTGTTTACCTAATCCTATCTTCGTACCTATTTCCACTCCCAAAAGTTTAAAAGTTTTAACATATTCGATTTTGATGTTTTTATAATAAATTTCTGGCTTATTAACTGCAACTGCGCTATGAACTAGCATTACTTTCGTCTTTTTTATGTTAACCGGTAAAATATGATCATCTGCATATTTCTCAAGTAAATTTAATACGATCTTAGCTTGATTTTGAATATTAATCAGATAATCTGACAGTCTTTTCTCAAGAGCTCGTTTAAACACTATTGTTAAACCATGTGCAAAAAGATGACATATGATTTGAGGAAAATACGATGGTAAAAATAAAATGTGCAGGCGAAACAAGAGTGCTGCTAGTACACTACCTTGTGGTGCTCCAACTGAAACTTTAAACGTCTTGGATTTAGCATTGCCATGGTTTATAAACATTTTCCTATTTGTTAACCAGTTAAAAATCCATTTCCTTAATTCTAATGGCATATCTAATTTCTCAAGAGACTTCCTAAGAGCAGGATACCATTTACGATTAAAAGCTGTTAAAAAGTCTACCAATATTGTAAGTGCAGGTCTATTCGGAGCTGCTATTGTCAATTTGAGATTCTCAAGTAGAGCAAGAACTCTTGTTTGTAATCGTCTATTTGTGGTGAACCCTGATTGCTCGTCTATTGATCCTTGTATCATTTTTCTATACATTCAGCTATTATTTTTTCAAAAATTTGGACTAAATTAAGTAGTAATGAAATAGAGCGAAGACGATCTTCCGTTGAAAAAGCTCCTTCTTTTGATAAACCAATTCCTTTTACGATTTTACCTTTTTCAAAAAAAATTACCTGCTTCTGCAGATTTATTAAAAAGAATTGTTATTATATGTAAATATTCTTGTGGCATATGTTTTAGCAAGAATGCAGATGTATCTGTACTATCTAAAGATTCTTTGGATCTTAGTTTCTTCCAATGCATTTCTACTTTGGCAAGCTTTATTTTTTCTAGTGAAATAGTATCAATTTTTTTCATTTTGTTGTATTCTTCTACATATTCTAAATGAAATGGATTTTTTTTTCGTTGTGTATAGGTGTTCAAAAAAATGTTTTTCGTAGTATTGCGCTAATCTATCGATTATTTCTTGGTTATCCTTTACAATTTCTTTGTTAACTGTCAAACCTTTAAATGGAGGAGAATATGAACGGGAATAAATGTTTGCTGTATGTCCAAATATTATGACCTTCTTTTATATGTTCTATTTTTCTCTCTGCTTTATGATATTCATATTTTATTTTTTTCTTTGGAATATATTTTTCTCGCTTCTAAAAGCTTATAATAATCTCCTAGAAATCTTGTTTTTCTAAATTTTATTTTCTTTTTATTCACTAATTTTGCTAGACTTACTAAAAAAAGTGGCCAAGGAGAGCGAAATTTCTCTATATTTTCATATTCACTGCATCTATCACAAAGTGCTGAAAGAAACTCAGAGAAGATGTTGAAAAAGGTGTTAAATTCAAAGTTGTAAACTAAGCATATCCAATATGGATAAACTGCAAGAAGAAAAAAAGTAAATAATTTCGAGTTAGTTTTTCTAAATATTCCTTTGTCGTCTGAGGTAAAAGGAGATAAAAAGAGTACTGGATAGTGATCTGATGTTCATTCTTCTAATCTATTTACATTTCATTTTTCTATATCTTTACCTATTCCAAAATCAATGATATTCATCAACTGATTGCTAAAATCTAAACCTTAAATTTTCTCATTCAAGAAAAAACCTTGTCATTTACCTTCTTCTGATTTCAATGATGTTTTTGCCTATAGATACTACATAGTTTTCTAATAAAAATCCTAAAAGGATTTAGGTTCCTATTGATATTGGTCTTAGCTATTAAATTTTTTTTCGATGTTCCAGATCTTCGAAAAACTCGCATTTTCTGATTTGGATCAGAAACTTTCTGTATAAAGAGAACTCAACTAAAATGATTTTCTTTAAAAAATTCCAAAGTTTTGAACAAAATCTCTTCGAGATAATGAAGCTTTCAAGAAATGGATGTTGTATACACTATTCGTGGAAAACGATCACTATCTTCAAAGTCTCATATGCCAAAGAGATTTTGCTTAAAATTTCTAAATTTGTTTTTGATGAAATCTAGTCTAGTTGAGTTGTCTGTATACGCAAAATTTTAGATCGAAATTTGATAGCATAGATAAATTTCAATAGGAATTCAAATCGTTTTTTAATGGAAGAACTGCAAGTAATAAAAACAGTGTGAACGAACAGAAGAAAATAAAACAATACTGTTTGATTATTTTGATACGAACAAGTAAACTTGATCTCGACAAATTTTAACAGAAAAAAATAGCATATCTATAAAATATTTTCCTAATGGTGAATACCAGTTCGGTCCAGTTCTTTCTAAAAGAACTGGATGAATGATGATCATTGACTTCCTTGATTGCAAACTGTGACAAGTTAGATCACGAAATTAACTTTTTTTCTCGATTTAGTAAAATCACTAATCGGAAATTATATAAAAAAAAAGCAAATGATAAAGCAGCAATATCCAGTTGATCTTTTATCATCAAAGTGAAAGATATTATAGAAGAACTAACCTCGTTGTTCATCTAGTACAGTACTTGTTAAAGTTGATGTTGTTCGAGTTTCCCATTCAACAATATTAATATTCAATGAAGCAGCTAATATTCGTAGACATGTTGATTTTCCAGAACCAGATGGACCAGAAATAAGTATTAATTTAGATGGTCGCTGAATAAAAAGACAAAGAAATTTTGTTCTTTTTCAATGAAAAATAATAAATAATTATGATTTACTTGATTTGTTTTAACAATTTCACATGATCTTTGAAGTATATCTTCAAGTTCTTTAATTTTTTTTGGATGAAGAATAAGATCATGACGTGTTTTAGGTTGAAATAACATTGACCAAAGTTCATCATTTTGTTGATTAAGTTTTTTTGTCATTATTGAACGTGCTGTTGTTGATGATGTTGATGAAGATTGTTGTGATGATAATTTTGATACAAATGTTTTTGGAATTTTTATATCTGTATTTGTTGTTATTAATGTTGGTGATGGTGGAACATCATCAAATTGTTCAAATATATTACGATATGATGAAGAATCAAGAGATATTCCAGATGTTTTAAAACGTTTTATTGGCTGCTCAGAACGGATATTAAGATCCGAAAATGAAGGTATTCGACGAGACATTTGCCTAGTCGATATTATACACAAGAATAAAGAAGAAAATCTAAAGATAATCAAATTGAAAAATATTCATTATTTGCCGAAATGAATCTTCACAATATAGTTGTGCAATTCTTTTTTTTATAATTTATTCAAGAATTTTATCTGTTTTAAATAAGTATAATTGAATTTTTTCTTTCTAAGTTGTAAAATTCTAGTTAATAATTATTTACAAAGTTAAATTTTCAACAACAAAAAAATTAATTTCATTTTCATGTTTCGGGAAAACGTTTTCATTATTTTCTTAGCGCTATATTCCATTTATTCATTTACATTGTATGTAGCACCATCATCTAGGCCTAAGTATTCGTTGGTTAAATCTAAGTCACAACAACCAGTGTATCAATCAAAAAAAGTAAGAGAGTTTTGTTTTTTCTTTTTGTTTACATTAGAATTTGAAATAATATCGCATTGATTGCATGTATATTCTTAAACCAAAGATTGATAATGATGAGTAGTAATGAAAAGATCCCTAAGGAATAATGAAGTACATTTGTAGGCATACACAAGAGAGAAGAAAAAGGAGCAGAAGAAGAAAAAAATTTGATCAAATTTACTCTTCTCTTTCGATGATCTGCATATTGAGAGAAAGAAAAAAGAAGAACTCGCCGTTGTCGGAACATCTTCGAAGAAGAACACTTGATTAGTTAGTTAGTTTCTAATATTGATGTTGTTGTTTTCCATGTTCTAATCAAATAATGTTTTTTTTTTCTTATAACTGATTATTACTATTCTCGGAAAAGACGCCTAGATTTTTCAATCAACCTTCAGCCAATCTCGCATCATTGCTTTCGTTTTTTTATGTAAATTTACTAAGATCAACAGAGAAAAAAAAGTTGATTTATAACATATATATATTATATTTAGTTTTCTTTTTCTCTCTGTGTTTCTATTACTCGTATGCTAATTTGAACTCTTGAGCTTGACGAATATACAATGAAAGATACTGACTTCTTAATAATCGTAAATTGTTGTTATGTGTAGAGAGAAAAAAAAAGAGCGAAAGAGAAAAGATTGTTTGCTGCGATTTCCCTTTTTTTTTAGTAGGGAAAGAGAGAAAAGAACATTCGATGATTATTAGCCGTTTTCATCTATTTCCTGAGCGGAATAAAAAGAAAAAAAAACATTGATCTGTGTAACAAATAACAGATCATGATCAGAGATATGCATATAAAAACTAATCATGGATTAGAAAAGTCATTGAATAATTATCGTTTAAAATATATTCATCATTTAAGCTATTGGAAAAATGTTCGAAAAACAAATTATTGGATTATATTTGAAAATCCTTTACTTGAGAATTATGGTAAAGTCTAATTGTCTTATTAGATAAAACAAAGAATTCATTGTCACTTTTTCTTTTGATTTTATTAATCAATTATATTTGCTTTTTTCTTTCTTCAGTTAGTATGACAAGTGAATATCATTTTAATTCGTAAGAAATAATAAATTATTTTTTGTCTCTTTAATAAATATTAAGTTTTTTTTTTGCTTACTTATAGAAATTCTATTCTTTTGGAAAATATTTCGTCACCAACTGAATCAACAGATAGTGGAATACAAGTATCAATAGAACGAACAATAACAGTTCGTATTGATTTCTTTTGTTTTAAATAAATTCAAATTTTATTTTAGATGGATGATGACATAAGCCTTCCATTAGGTTGGGAATGTTTTGAAGGTAAAAATTTATAATTCTATAAAGTTTTAATTGAAAAAAAAAACGCTTTTTTATCAGATGAACAAGGTGTCTATTATTGGCATAAACTTACTGGTACTGTAACACGTGATCGACCTCAATCAATGATAAATTCTCCATCGTTAACACTTTCATCATCATCCAATGATACATGTTTTGAAATGAATTCCTTATTAAATAAAAGTGAATCTGATAATTCTATTCGAGTAAACTCATTTTGCTTATATATATATACATTCAACTTTTTTTCACCTCTCAACGAATATTTCTGTTGTTTTAGACATTGGATAATAATTCTGAACAACATCGTTTTTATGTACATTCACTTGGTTGGACAATAATTAATGAAGAAGATTTAACAAATGAAAAAACTAGTCGTTCTGTAAATCGTTGTATTTTTGAATTAACACATGGAATTAACGATTCAATTAGTCGTTGGGGTGATGGTAAAGATCTTTATATGGATATTAATAATACAGATATACTTTTAATTGATCCTATGGAAATGACTATATTAAATAAACAATCAATAAGATCACTTCGAGTTTGGGGAGTTGGAAGAGAAAATTCAAGGTTTTTAAAAATAAAAATTTATTTATTTTTTTAATTTTTAAATTTAATCTTTTAGTGATTTTGCTTATGTTGCAAAAGATAAAAATTGTACAACAAATGTTTATAAATGTCATGTATTTCGTTGTGATAATACATCGGCAAGAATTATTGCAAATACATTACGTGATGTATGTAAAAATCTAATGGTTAAACGCGGTTTATTAAATCATACAATGGAAATTTCAAATGATGGAATATTAATACAAAAACGGTAAATTTAGAAAGAAAAAAAGAAATTTTATTATGTAAACTTTCAAAATTATCTTATATAGACCAACATCATTTCCTGATTCAATTGAGAATGATATTACAAATAGTAAAGATACAAGCATTTTTTTTTACATTAAAATTAATTTCTTTTTTTTAAATTTTAGCACAATTTCCAACGCCAATGGAGGAACAAAAGAATAACTTACCATGTAAATATTTAGGTTGTACTTATGTTGATAAGCCTGGTGGAATGGATATATTACGACCAACAATTGAACAAATAACAACGACAGTACCAGATGATAAATGGATTCCAGTTATAGTTAAAATTTCACCAACATCAATTGTTATTTGTTCAGATGATGTATGTTGAAGTGTTGAAAAAGAAGACTTTTTTTCATTATTTTGTTTTGTCTTATAGGATTCTAAAGAGCAATTACTCGATTGTCGTATTCGTTATCTTTCGTTTCTTGGTGTTGGACTAGATATTCGGTAAACTAATTTTTACCTTCATATTATAGATATAACTTCTTTTTTTTTTATAGTTTCTGTGGAATAATTGTTCATTGTGCAGATAATTCCTTTAAATGTCATGTATTTTATTGTCAACCATCATGTATTCAACTATGCAAAAATATAGAAGCTGCTTGTAAAGTAAATTAAAACATTTTTTTTGTTTTTTGTTTTTCAATTATATTTTCTTTTCTATATATATTTCATATAGTTACGTTATCAAAAATGTCTTGATGCTCATCCACAACCAGTTAAAATAGTTGAACAAACTAAAGTTTGTCATTTTTGTTTTCTTGAGAATAATTTTCTTGAATTTATTGTCTTGATTTTAGAGTTATACTGCACAGATAAAAAGTTTGGTTGAATCATTTTGGTTTGGGAATAAACAATCTGTCTGATTTTAATGTCAATATATATATATATTTTTCTTTCTCAATAGGAGATCTTTGTTTTGTTGCTGTATGATGTATTTCTGATTTTTTATTTTGCAATCGAAGATCAGAAATAAAACAAATGTTGTAATGTCGATTTATTGAATTTACAATTTAGTTTTTATTTAATAACTACATGCTGTTGAATGAAGTTTGTATGTGAAATGAAGTTCGAGTTTAAACATATTTAATCGACTACTACAAGAGATTAATTTAGTTATGTTCGAGTATTTTTCTAATCTTTGATATAAGACAAAGAATAGACACAAGTTTTGATCTATAGTTTAAAAAAAGTCCTTGAAGTTTTTCTAATTCCACAGGGAAAATACCTGGTTCCATTCAATGAAAGTGCGCACAAGTGCAGATATATCAAAACAATATATGTATCTGTATCGTATTCTCAATGGTATTAACGGATTCATTATTCTAAAACAATAAAAATAGCTATCTACTCAACAATACTGTTCAAGGGAATAAGCAATCGTTTTTTGAATTTGCACTTAATAGGCTATACGAATATATTTACCTAATGACTTTAAATCAATACTACTGAAAATGTTTAAATAATTATGACATTTTGAAGATTAATTATTTCCAGTATATGGATGAAATATTAGGTTTTGTTTTTGTATATTCAAGTCTTCAAGGTTATTTAAACTTTGTATTGATTGCTGAAAGATTGAATTGATACACAACCTAGAACTATCGATTCCACGATGATTTATATATGTTACCGTCTACACTGAGACTACATTCAAATTCGGATTGAGTGGAGAATTCATGTTCAAACTGAACCAATCTAACTCGTGAGTGATACATAAGTGAGAAGTATGCAAACATGTGATCTATATAGAATCTTTCAAATGTAAGGTTTAGAGAAAGCAATAGAATAAAAAAGAGCTGTAGACTTATAAAAAATATCAAGTATGATGAAACGTCAAGCATTGCTGACAGAAGTATGTTTTCTTCGCATCTGAATTAAATTAAAAGGAATGATTACACGAGAATACTAAACGTACTGATTGAACTTATGTTATTTTTAGTAATAAAACAATGTTGACAATGTATCTTATTACTTATAAGATTCACTAGCTAATAGAAATGTACATATAAATTATTTAAAAATTTTTTTCAATCGACATATTAAAACTATGATCAAAATCTATTTCGAACATTTATTTCGTCGAATTATTTTTTTTTTATCTTTTAATTAAAACAACGGTTTCACATACAGTAGAAAATCTTAAAATCAACGTATTAGTAGTTATTTTAAAACAAATGGTATTAGTTCAGTATATTTTTTGTTTCAACAGTCTGTCGAAAAGTATTTGGATCGATAACAAAACAATATTCAGTTATTTTCTCTGACGATTATCGTAGTCATATGATTTAAAGAGGGTACAGGTGTTGGTGTGCATATAGGTGTGAATGAATATGGGTTTGGTTTAGGTGGAAATCATCTCTTCATCCACATCCACGCTCAAACACTCACATTCACA